GCCGAATCTACTACTTAGCAACTATTTCTCTGACTCTTAAATAATACTTCATTACGCTGACTAGAAGATCCTCTTTCTGTAACTTCTACTTTCTTAAAAAACCAGATGTTAGACTAGAGCAGGATACAATTTGGAATCACAGGCCTTAGTCTGAATCCCTGTCCTGCCATTGAGCCCTCTATATGACCTTCGGTCAGTTGCTTTATCTCCTGAGGGCTTCATTTCCCCATCTATAAATTGGGGTGTTAACATCACCCTCACCAGTGATTCTGAGATTAAGCGAGCTGGTGTATGTAATCTGCATAGCACCACGTCTGGCCAAAGTAGGTGCTTACTCAAGGTTAGTTCCCACCCTCCCAGTGTCCCTCTCTAGTGCTAGCCCTCAAGTACAAAGATCCTGACGGCTGCTGAGCTGCATTCCCCACGAATGTTTTTGTCTCCAGGGTAAATAGACTCAGTTTAGGTCCACGAATGCACCTTTAGCTCTTTGTGGACTCTCCACTTTGCTGCAGGAGAAGAGATTTCCCTCTGAGTCAGTGATCCTCCTAGTTGTTTACCAAATGGGGGAAAAAAAATCTATCCCTGTCTCCTGTGAAGAGCTTGGGGCCTGCAGTCAGAGCATTGCATGTCTTAAGTTGAGTATTCACATGATGGGGTCTGCCTGCATAAATAGAAACATCCTTCTTACTAGTCATCAAGTTTTCTGTTCAAGAACTATTACACATTTCACAAATCCAAGGGGACAGCCTCAGTCAGATAAGAGTCTGCCAGCTGTAGCTCTGGCTGTGTCTATTGACAGCTGGATTGGCTCTGTGGACTCAGTGGTTTCCCCCGGAAATGCTCAGGAGGGCCCAAGCGCAGCCTTCTGCTCTGGACCTTGGCAGGGCTTGAGGGTGGTTGATCTTATGACTGAGGTTTTTCAATTAATGACCTTGCTCAGTATGAGATATTAAAGGTTGCGTTTTTGTTTTTGTTTTTAACCCAGTACCACATGTTAACGACTCAGGAGATTTAGGAATATTAAACACTCCCTCTCAGCTCCAAGATGACAACTGATAAATATATAACCGTAAGATACTGAAAACAACAAAGAACGGGAGGAGAAATCTGAGCCCTGGGAGATTAATAAATAATAAGGAGTGAATGCAGTCAAGCACAGATCCCCAGCGGGGCCCATTACTTGGGCTCCTGCATAAAGCCAGGAGAGGCAAGCATGGCTCCTATAATTCTGTTAACACTAACAACTAGTCCTTAAATGCTCTCAGATGCATATAACAGGGGTATTTATATTCTCTTAGCAAGCAGAGTGTTGTTCCAGAATTGTGAACAGTGGTTTAATTTGGAAAATTGGGTAATCTAATCACTAGCTTTTCAACTGCCTTTGTACCTACTCCCTAAGGCAGCCTCCTATACCATGTGGATCTGTGGTTCTCGATCTGCATCACCCTGAGCCCTCATGTTCCATGGAGGGTCTTTTGGAGGAAGCTGGGTGGGCACAGCTGAGTGAGCTTCTAGACCCTCTCCATCTGCTTCAGTAAGACAGTGTGCAAAACAATCTGGAACAAAAGGATTTTTTTGTTGTTGTTTTTTGTGTTGTTTTTGTTTTTGTTTTTTTGCTTCAAAAGAGAAACTTGAAACTCACTGGTCCCATGATGTTTACATCCTCTTATAAATTACTTTTCCACTCATTGGTATGTTTCTGAAATGTTACTTTGTTAATGTACTAGGTAGAGTTCAGTCATTGTATGAATAAACCACAATATATTCATTCCGCTTCTGGTGGTTATTTAGATGATTCCCCCTTTTTCACCATTTCAAATAATGCTTCAGTGAAGTTGAGGGCATTTTTGGTATCAACAGTGATAGATGGTGAACTCCAAGTTGGTCAAGAAGGGAAGGGACAGCAGGAGGGGCCGACTGGATAGTGAGAATGGGGAGAGTGGATAGAGGGCTAGAAATTGCTTGGACGTGATGAAGGCAGGACCAGATAAGCTATAATAAGGCCCCGAGTCTGATGAGGGACACAATGTGGCATGTAAAAAGCATTTAAAAATTAAGGTAAATTGAATAGGACTGAATTAAATTAAACTAAATTTAATTTTACTGAATCAATGAGATGCTAACCTTGCACATTTTTAACATCATGGTTCCCTTTTCCTTCCCTCACCGCAATGTTAAACCAGCGTATGGTTTTTGGGAGTTTCATGAACATCAAATATAAATTAGACCAAGGATTGAGTTTCTGAAGTGAATAATGAATAATAAATGGTTGCTTATATTAGTATCTCACACAGAAAAATGTTGAGGTTACGAAGATTTTTGTGAAATTCGGATGCCCTTAAGCTCTCAGGATCCACTTTCTTGATATTGTGAGCATTTTTGCTCTCAGAAAATTTTGCTTCCTGTCTCCAAAGGCAAAAGGCAACATACAGAACTTTCAGAACATGTAATTATTCATATGAATTGAAAATAATTTTGATAGCGGTGTCTGGGTGGTTCAGTCCATTGAGCATCTGGCTCTTGATTTCGGCTCAGGTCATGATCTCCTGGTTCGTGGAATCGAGCCCCTTGTTGGGCTCTGTGCTGACAGCATGGAGCCTGCTTAGGATTCTCTCTCAAGCTCTCTATCTGCCCCTCCCCCACTCATGTTCCATCTCTCTCTCTCTCAAAATAAATAAATAAACATTAAAAAAAAGAAAAAGAAAAAGGGGTGCCTGGTGGCTCAGTTGGTTGAGCATCTGACTTTGACTCAGGTCTTGATCTCACAGTTGGTGAGTTTGAGCCCTGCATCAGGGTCTGCGCTGGCAGCTCGGAGCCTGTTTGGGATTCTCTCTCTTCCTCTCTCTCTCTCTCTGCCTCTCTCTCTCTCTCTCCCCTCCCCAAATAAATAATTAAATAAGTAAAAAGAAAAGGAATCATTTTGATAGACGTATATCTTTTACATTGCCTTATATTATAATATTGAGTGGAAACAAAATATGAAATCTTTTTGAATTTGAATTTGAATAAATCTAAAGTACTGTGAGTTAAAAGTCTTTGTAACAATATGAGTTAAATCTTTTCTAGCATCACAGGGCGCTCTCCTCTATGGTGGATCCTAAAGATCGTTAAGCAGGAGAAAACACAAAGTAAACATGATTCAGTTTGCAATTGGGATGGGCAGATTTTCCTCTCTTCCTCTCTCCAAATTCCTGAACATGTGATGCTTTGACTATCCCTGTGGCTCCAATGGCTCCAATTGTCTTTACTTTTTGGAGTGTGCATTATTGGAAAGCATTTCAAGCCAGATCTTCGGGCCAAATTGAGGATAATGACTAATTGGGGTGTTGCCAAAACTACTTGTTCCATTTATTTACATCCTGTAATAAGGAAAGTAGTTTTAAAACAAAGGATATTGTTCGCATTTACAAACATGAAATTCTGATTGTTTTAACACAACAATAAAAGTTATTGCTAGCAATCTTGGTTTGGAATAGCCCCTATCATAAAAAGTCTAGAGCTAATACCTCAGCTGATTTTAACATATGATCAATGAGATGAGAGTCTAGAATCCACCCTGATTACCAACTGACAAATGCATTCAGCTGGTCATCAGAGGACCAAGTCCCTATGGCTTTGCTGCCTCACTGCTTGGTCTGGACTAGGAAGTTCTGATGGTGTGGCTTTATCTCCTAGCCAGCTCCCACGGATTAGTCATAGCTCCTGGAGGCTGAAAGAATCGGCACCTCTGGGGAGTGTGCAGGCATCAGTTAGTGATGTCTGCCAACAAGCACCAGGGCAGGGAGGAAGGGCAGCGTTCTCGCCCTGGGAGGGAGTCCGAGTATCAAAGTCAGAATCTTATCTCCATTTTCTCTCAGCCATGAGGTATCTTGGGCAAGATATCACCTGCTCCTCAACCTCAGCTCTCTCGTCTACAAAACACAGGCAACAAAAATTGTTAAGAAAATTAAAATTGATACTACACCTGAGAAAGAAATCTTAACTGCTGTTAATATGTCTTGGCCTATCCCAGTCTGGTGTTTCTCCCTTTAACTCATGGTATTTTAGTATTTCTGTCACCCTTTTGGCAATTAATTGCAAACCACCTGCCACCTGGTGTTAGTGCACTGTAGGACATCAGGTTCAGTTCCTGTCCCTTTCTGTACTGCCCACCCTTTCTGGTCCTGGCCTCTCCCGTCATAGGTGATCGGTAAGGGTCTGTTTACTGAATGAATGTGAACCTGTTACTAATAGCATTTTTAAAAACTTTAAATGTTGTCGGATGAGTAGTAACTTTATTTTCTCTTTTATTCTTTATGTTATATCTTTTTTATTTGGAGAGACGTGTTTTGTATTTTATTTTGGGAGGATTGTTACTATTTATATTCATGGGATCATAGGGTTTTTTTTTTTTTTCTCTCTCTCTCAAAGAATTTTCAATTGGGCTTTATTTTTAAGGAACTGAGCTCTTTTCTGTGTTCAGATAGCCCCATGGGCCAGTTGAAGAAGGCGCAGGGAGGTGGGCTTGGTAGATCAGGCACTGGGGAGGCTACTGACATCTGAGCAAGGGCCCCCTTTGGGCTGAGCTGGGGCAGGGGGCTGGGCTCGCCCACTTCCTGTGCAGAGCACTGGCACTTTTTAACCCATCTCCTTCCTTCTTGAAACCCTCCTCCGCTCGCCAACCGCCCCCCCCCCCCCCCCCCCCCCCCCCCCTCCACCCCCCGCCCATCCTCAGCTGACACTGCACTCACAGCAGCATAGACTTAAATGATTTACTTAGTGATCCGCCCTGGCCACAGCTTTGAGCCATCCGGACTCAGCCTTCAGGGCTTTCTCTGTCCACAGCCCAATGCTTTTAAAATCTAGGTCTCCTGAGAATTGACTGTGCTTCCACACAAATCATATTGTCTAGCTTGCTAGAAAGTTCCTTGGCTTTCTGCTTATCGCTCCAAGAACAGTTAGTTCCCTATTGCTGCCGCCAAGCATGTAAACAATCCTGTTTCTTCTTTCCCGGGTGACAGGCGCATCACATCGTGCTGAGCAGAAACCCCTCTCAAGAAGAGGCAGCAGTCTCTGCACATTTGGTCGCCCGCGCTGTCGTCGCTTCCGGGGGGATTGAACACCACGGTGAGCGGAAACCTTCTGTGGGCGTCGCACCTTGCCTGCGCCCTGCCCGTCCCGCACACGGGTCTGTGAACCAGCTGCCTTTAGGATGGGTGAACAGGTGGATGGACCTGTGACACAGGCCCCCCTGGAGAGCTTTGGCAGCTTTATGTGGTGGTCCTGAGCTGTGCCCCTGTGTTACTTTCACCAGAGTTCTCTGCTTTCTGTCCTGTTTAGCTTTTCTCTAACCTTTTACTTTCAAATACGGCGAATCTTCATCCAAGCAGAGCTGTGAAGAGCCCCCAGAGAATCCACGCTGGGCTTACAGGGAAATCTGCTCTACTTTCAGAGGTGATCTATTTTTAAAGATTGCTGTGGAGCTACTGTGGCAACAGATAGATCAGGCCTGTTGGAACCCCAGCCTACAGACTTTCACAGGACAGAGCTTTCAATCAGGATGAACTTTAATGGTTTCAGGAGTCCAAGAGGAAGTTGCCATTTATGAGTCATATGGTTTTTCTTAGCCCCATGTGATAGGTAGAGCGGTGAGCTTGGGGAGTTCTTTAATCTGCCATTCTAGACTCAGAGCATACAGTATGCCTCTAGTGATGGGGAACATGCATTCTGGTGGCTTATTTTTGGTCAGAATATTCAGAAACAGAGTATAACTCATAAAGGAGACCTAGGGGTATATTGCAAAATATCAGGTAAAAAATAATGATCTACTGTAGTAAAATAAGGTCCAACGTGCCAGCAAGCCTAAAATGGAGATCCGGAATAGTTGGGATTCAGGGGGCAGAGCTGGGCTAGAAGGCAGAGGCTTCTAGCTGGAGGGTAGGCGGAGATGAAGGGAATACCAAAATGAGCAGCCTGGTGCGTAGAGATTTCTGGGCCAGGCAGGGGCTCCAGTCAGGGAGGAACTGGTGAAGGGGATATCAGGGTTTATCCATCTGTCCATCCTACCTTACAGACCCCTCATTCTGGCTTCCTGGAGCTTTGAGCACCTTTTTGGAGCTGGAGCAGCGTATCTACAGATAGAGAAGGCAGGCAAACTTTCTGATCCTCTCTTTTTGGAACACACCATATATAACAATCGGCTTCAAAACCTTCAAAGGGTCAACAGTTTTTTGACCAGCTTTCTGGTGCTTAACATTACTTTATTTTTTTTTTCAAATTTTTTATGTTGTTGGTTTTTTTTTTTCCTTTGAGAGACAGAGGGAGAGCAAGCACAAGTATGGGAGGGGCAGAGAGAGAGGGAAACATGGAATCATAGCAGGCTCCAGGCTCTGAGCTGTCAGCACAGAGTCCGACACGGGGCTCAAACTCAAAACCGTGAGATCATGACCTGAGCCAAAGTCCAGCGCTCAACCAACTGAGCCATCCAGGCACCCCAACATTCCTTTAATAGGGGAAGAGAATCTTCCATTCCCAACTATTAAGACAGTTAAGATGCAAACACACATTTGATGGAAATTCCTATGCTGGCAGGAGCCACAAATCTAAGTGCCTATAGGAACCACACAAGCAGTGTGAGCAAAATAGATAGCTATTACGATACAGTAGGAGCAGCAAGCCTAATCAGAAATGGCAGCTACTGTTGGTCGTAATACGAGAGAGACAACACAAAGTGTGAGGACTGTGGCAAACTGGAGAATCCCATGTGCTATTGAAAGTGAGCAGCTGTTACAGCTCCAGCCCGTTACTGTCATGTAGAAGGCAGGCTTAGAGGGCAGATCTGTTTTTCAAGAGAAGGCAGAAATCTAGGTTTTTCTGTGTAATTGTTGGTAACCAACTCAAACATGTTTCAGGCTCTGATCAGGCAAAGCAAGTGTGAGGGCAAAACACATGTAACTTCTGACCTGGAGAGCGTGCGTATAATGAATGGTTGTCAGAACCTTCCTGTTTTCCTCAGGCTCATGGGTTAAGACAACTGGAGGGTTCTGAGCATTTAAACTGATGAGGTGGGGGTGGCGGGAGTCTATTCCCTAGAGAATACCAAACAGCTAGAGGAAACTAAGGCCCAGAGAAAAGAGGAAGAGTTTCCAGCTCAGGAAACTAAGGCCTCTTTGCCTAGAGGGATTCTGGTTCACCAGCATCTCAGCTAGTTAATAAATGTATGGATTGGGTGAGGACCATAGAAATTGTGTCCTGAAATGTTTTTTTTTTCCTGTAGCTGCAAAGTTAGGCCACTCTGTTTTGCATGGTTTACAGAATCACAGAATCCAAATACACACACACACACACACACACACACACACACATATATATTACATTTTTTAGTCTAAATATAGCATGGGTACTATAAATTGAGAATGACAATAATACCTACTTGATACATTTAATAAGATCTGTGAGACTTAGATGACCTCACACAGTAATAATAGTAATAATAGCTAATGCTTACACAGTGCATACTGGCATGGTTCTAATCAGTTACACTTCTTTAAAAATTTTTATTTATTTATTTTGCAAGACAGGGAGAGAGCATGAGTCGGGAAGGGCAGAGAGAGAGAGGGAGAGAGAATCCCAAGCAGGCTCCATGCGGCCAGCACAGAGCTGGACTTGGGGCTCGATCCCATAAACCATGAGATCATGACCCAAGCCGAAACCAAGAGTCAGATGCTTAACCGACTGAGCCACCCAGGCACCCCTAACCAGTTACATTTATTAACTCAATTAACCCTCACAACATTGTGAGGTTGATGTAAGTATTTCCAGTTTCTGATGGAGAAACGGAGAGATTAAGTAATTGCCCCAAGAGCACATATCCAGGGAGTAGCAGATTTGAACCTAGGCTCTTGACCTCCATGTTACATTGTAAGGACTGACACTGCACATGCTCCCTTTTCTTCCTTGCCCCTCCCCACTTAGGTCTACGGAAGAGCCTATGGCATTTGGGACAGAGGACATGGGAAGAGCGGAGGCACGCAGAAAGATGGATTTGGAGAGCCAGTGGGAAGGGGCCAGTCCAGGAGTACGCACAGGCTTTTAGCACCTCCCCTCTGCCTCTGGTGGCCTGAACCCCACAAACTGACTTGCTGGTCAGAATTTGAAATATAGGAAGAGTGTAAAGATGGAAGAAAAGTTCCCCCCAGGAGCAGGGAGATACAATTGAAGATGCAATAGAGATTAGGGAAGGGGCTTACTTCTGCTTGAGCTTTAGGGGATTGGTTGCTAGAAACATAGGGCGCAGAGCCTCAGGAGCTCAGAGGCGGCAGGAATCATGGTAAGAGTAATGTTAGTGACAACAGTAGTGGGAATTGAGCTTGCCTTGTGTGCAGGTGCTGGAACTCTCATACACGTGCTCATTTAATCCTTTTAATAAGCCTGAAGGCGGGATGTGACCTCCCATTCTGCAAATGAGCTAACACAGCCAGCTCTCCATACCTGCAAATTCCATCAGTCTCTATTCTCTGAACTCATTGCTCTACCCAGAAAGACCACAGCCCCTATCACTCTGTGGGGTGCTCCTAGACACGCCCTTCTCTAATCAGAGGAGACTTGAAATGGCCATCACCTTGATGCCTTTAGGAAGAAAGTTTACCGCAGCCTTAAAGGGGAGTCAGCGCTAAGTGGGGTTGGCAGTGGAACTGCAGGATCAGAACAGCTGCTTGTCAGGCAACACCATGAAGCCCTAGGACAGGTGCAGAGACGAGCACCCGCCCTGGTCTCTAAGGCCTCAAAAGGCCATCTAAATGGGCACATCAGGAATGAATACAAGCACGGAGAAACCCCAAGCTATTCCTAATGTGTTAACCTGTTTGAAAACTGCTGTCAGAATCCTTGTTCTCTCGGTGGCAAAACGTGCAAAAGGCCGTGGAGAGTGAACTGACCATTCGGCATTTTGAGACACAGAGTTTGTTCTGGCTTTTACCCACGGTGCCTAAGTGCGGCGTGGGCTGAGGGGGCCCATGTTACATGAATGGAACCAGCTTCCCTTTGGAAGCTGGAGTGAACTGGTCCCCACCCAGCCAGGAGCCACAGTCCCACTGTCTTTCAGGGTGCCTGGTTCTCATGTCATCTCTGTTACCCCCTCTCAGTCCAGTCCCCCCACAGTGGGAAAGAAGGGAACCCACCCAGGGCTGGGGGTTCCCCAGGCCTCTGCTGCCTCTAGCAAGAAGAAAGAAAGGGGAGCATTTGGTACTCATCTTGTCTGACAAGTAAGGGGATACCAATCCCCCCCAAATACACACACACACACACACACACACACACACACACACACACACACACTGGCTGGCTTTCACCCAGGGTGGCAGGACTGTGACCTGGACATTAGTCACTTTTAGTTCAGAAATCCCAGCCAGATCCCCTGGGAGCAAACCCACATGGTCTACCAAATGCTAAAGAAATCCACATGCATGGGGACCACAGCTCTGCTTTCCTGTGCTTAAACCTGTCTGTGCAGAGCACACTTTTTTTTTGTTTGTTTTTTTTTAAAGAATCATTAATGAGAAACATTTCTCATCTGGGGATTCTCCGTAGCCTGCTTGCTAAATGCCCATGGAAGGCATTGCCCTCTGACAAACGAAACGCCACTGGCCAGGAAGCTAGCGTGTTTCAGGCTCCATGCTCCAGCTAATCCCTTTGCTCTGTGCCTTTCCTGCATTCCTTATGCAGACAAAACTGCCCTAGAAGTCACGAAGGATTGCGATTGCATAAGGACTTCCAATTCAGGCTCCTGGAATGTCACTAACCTGAGCCTGGCCTGCTTCCCGGAGCAGCCATAGACAAACTTGGTATTAACAGCTCTCCCAACCCTGCGAAGTGTTCAGGGCATTGGCCTTGTGTTTATAACTCTTCTCCTAAAGGATATTAAAATGAAATGGGTGGAAGCCAAGTACATTTCGGTGTAAACCTTTGAGAGGCAGAGCCTGCTGAGCACAGGCGGCCTTGTTTGGAAGTGGCTCCGTCTGCAGCCTGGGCTCTGTAGGGTCCGGACACAGCACAGTGGAAGGGGTTCTGTCCCACTAGAGTCTCAGGGGCAGGGGGTGGGATTCCTGGCCATATGAATCAGACTCATG